GACGGTATCCGTCTCCGCCTGGGAGAGATGTGCCAGCCAATAATTCAGCGGTTACATATGGTTGGTGAAGTACAGCTCTACTTTTTTTTTACACATTCGATCTTTTCCATGTTTAGGTTTTATCCTCAACGCCTGTAATCTCGATGAATAATGAAAATGAGAGGGCTGCTGACTCGTGGGCTCGAATTGCTGGCGAACCTGTTCTTTGGATTGACCGTATAGCAACGATTTTCCGAGAAGTTCGACCGTGGAATGGTGGCGGCATGGTAAGTACTCGTTATTCAATGCTTTCGCTTTTGCCTTTGACATTCGCAATCACCTTGATGATTTTTTGACGCACGTAGTGACTGGTTGTATTGATACTGTGGTCGGTGATCTCCAAATTAGGCTGAACATAAAACTTGTAAAACCATGACTTTATGTTCACATTTTAGACTTAGACGTCATCCAAGCTTTTCGTTTCTTAGTAATGTGGCTGATAATGTTTCTAACGTCTGACGTTTATTTTAGAAGTCAATGAACGGTAACGTTTCTGAGCAAGCTCCTTGGTTGGACATAGCCCAAGAACTGTATGGAGTTTTATCAGAAGCTCTTAAACGTTATGAAAGTACATCTAGGGTGGTGGAACACTGCTGTCGATCAATCAGGTACGTCGCTCTTATGCTTCATTTGTATTTTTAATTTCGCTATGAATGTAGATTTTCTTTTTTGGCAAGAACATTTTTCAAGAATGTCTGTAGGGCCTGATACAATTTTTAAGGCTCCTGCTGATGTAGGGCATCTTTTATTGATTAATAGCCTTTTCAAAGATCGCTAACATCTTTACATATTTACCAGCAAGTTTACGGCACTATTCATGCAGTCACTCTCTCTTTATCCTTCTTTAAAGGGGAACATTGTCGTTCAGATTCATTGTTCGTTCCCTTGGCGTTCAATCCATCGGTTTTGTTGAACCGCTGATTACTCAGGTAGGAGTGCATGAGAGCAGTGTTGTGCGAATTTTCGTATCAATCGAATCTGGTTGCATAAAAACTTTTTCAGATGATGGACATTTTCTCAAGGCATCAGCACTCATGCTTCCTCTATTTGTCTTCAATTCTTGTCGATGAGTACGGTGGAATGGAATCTTTACAACCCGGCCTCATGATTATGCTTGAGGTAACAAATTACATTGAAAGTGGGGATCTATTTATGAGATATTACCTGTGCGTCTTTTGCAGACGCTCGCCCATGGCACGTTCACAGTCCTTACACTGGAGAATGGACCTCGTGACCATCCTGATACCGTTGACGACCTTTTCCGTTTGGCTATGAGGTGACTTTGCTTATATTTCTTTCCAATTCCTTTCCGAATTATGATATGAAGTTTTTCAAAAGAGTCGATATCAAAGATTGCACGAGACATCAGAGAGTGTGCTGGAATTGAGCCGGCATCGCTCGTCTCGCTTTATTTGGAAAGTTTAGGTTTGTGACTCGAGCTCCGTCAGCATTTTTCACTCATACGGTAGCAACAGCGCTTTTTGAATGTGCAATGGTATGCCTATCACTGGATCATCAAGAAGCGAACCGATCCGTGACCCGTTTCTTCGTGTCCATAATTGAGCAGTTGCTTTCTGCTAGGAAGGTACCTCAACAAGTCTGCCTACTCATCAGTTGCCGTTAAGTGTTGTCTTCTCGTGTAGACTGGCTTCCGTGATGCTGGCGTGGATGCGGCTGAAGACCTCGTCGTCCACCATGGTGCGAAACTGATTGAGCTGTGCTTATATGCTGCCATCTTTAAGGTAAGGGTGGAAGTGGTTGGCTTCCTAAATCTTGAACATACTAAGATAAAAATCGGGAATGTTCTATTGATAAGAAATCACATGGCTGAGTGCCCATTTTCAGGTGAGTGGTTCATTACGGAGAGATCTCGCGGAAATCGTGTTCATGCTGAGCAAGATTGATAGAGGAGTGAGTGTTGTTTATACTATCACATCCTTTGTGTTCTTGTCTAATAATTTTGATCGAGTAATGCATAGTTTTCTAGCGCCACAAGGAATGGCTCACAATCGCGACTTCACATTTACCTCGTGGGCCACTTGCAGCGACTGACGAACAGCTGGAACAATTTGTTGCTAATATCACGGCTGAGTAAGTCTTTTACCAAACGGTTGTGGAATTAACGGCTGTGCATTTATATACCAAATTAATAATGTAACTAGGTTGAATTTCAAGTCTCTGACGTACAAAGTCCAGATTGGACGGCCTAGCCTCATTTCTTCATTTCTTATATGTTGTGCCTGAACAATTGCTCAGCTTTGACTGCTAAGTTTCATGAGCACTATACTAGACGTCGCTTTTTGTTATTGAAAGAAAAACTACACTGACTGACCTGTGCTGACTTGCCGTGTCAAGCAGACATTTTGGTTTTGCAGTATAGAAGCTCTTCTTCAGAAAAGTTGAAGCTCTCCTGCTCACAAAACGGTTCTTCAGTTAATTTTTCCACTAGATGACCGCGGCTGCGATAATATCTTCTTTACCTGTCATTACCTTATGCTTTACTTACGCTTAACCTTAGGTTCAAGAATGTTGGATTTTCCAGTTTTCCAAAGCAGTTCATTTCACTAGGAAGATCAAGACATACCAATCTTTGTCATAAAATGATGGATTAGGGGCAGGTAATCGAATCGACAAAGTTTAGTTTAAAGGATCGACATTATTTTGAAGTAGCATAACATGAAAACTCAAATCAGCAGTGCCTGTTATTACTTTGCGATTTGCTGTCGGAGCTGCTGGTTATAGCGACCACTTTCTTCGTTTATTCACTAGAAGGAGGTGCCCATGTCGCTTTACTTTGAACACTCAATCGATTTAAAACACGTTCACATGAATACTACTTGCTACTAATATTACTTTTATATAACTATTACTTAATTTCTTTGCCTTATTTCAGTCCTGAACGAATATCGTTGCGAGATGTCCACACACAAATTCGTGACCTGATTAAACTGTACGAGTAAATGGGTCGATCTCGCGTCGAGTTGATCTACGGGTTGTTCAGTGCATTATCTGACCTGCTTCCAATCAAGCCTCTTCCCTTTACTGCGGTCTTCTCAATGGAGTCCGATCAGAATGAAGGAGTCAAATATACGGCGTGAGCACCAGGTGCGCCCAGAGTTTACCTCAAGTTAATTCCCACCTCCGGTTGTTCTACCGTGAAGATTGACTGTAATCAGACATCAGACCATCTTTTCTCATCCGGTGCGTGTGATTCGCTGCAGTTCAGGAATCATTCATAAAAGGTGTTAGTCCATTCCGGCAGTCCGCTTCTTTTGCTAGTGACTAGGATTTGTTATTTGTATATTATTATATTTATTTTTCAGAGTGATTGATGTAGTGTGATTTCACGGCCCACTTGTTGATCCAATGAAAACTAGTATGTTATCATATTTAATTAGGCTCATTGTATAGGCTTTTCTCTAGGATTCCCTGTGACTCGACCTTGTTTTCCTGACCTGTGTACTGTTTGTAACAGATTGTCCTATCATGGGTTATGGTAGATGTAATTCTTTAATAACTAGTAATCTTAGCTGTTTCTCGTTAATCGCGTTCAGGGTATTTGCTATATTCAAGTTTTTATACAAATCATATGTTATGGGTTGCTTTCAGAACTTTGTCGAGGGGTTTAAGTTGTAAGCATAGACAGAAACTGTCCTTTCAGTCAGTCTATCCGCCCAAGTCTGAATGCAGCTCAGGTTTGTCCATACTTGCCACTTGTATTTGTTTGATCGGTTCATTTTTGACGTGTATCTAGGTGAGTGAAAATGTGTCTTTTTTCTTGTACTACTTAGGGTTACTGTAATAACGCACGTCGATCGTCTTTTGTTGAAGTTACTATGCCTTTCTGGCTATAAAGGTTTTATTCCATTTTCAGTCGAGCGAAGGCATACATTTCAGACGTTCGAATGCCTGTTTCTCCAACATCTGACGGTCATCTGGATGGGCAATCTTAATCAACTCATAAGCTCTTTGACGGACGTTTTTTCCTCCTAGATCCGCAATTCCGTACTCTGTAACGACGAATCGCACGTGACCTCGGGTCGTTACCACTCCGGAACCCTGCAATTGAGCCATATTAATACATCGGTCAAATTTCCCGAGTAATCGTCTTCAGCTCTGAGGTTAGTTTATCTTAAATCTCCGACTTCTAATTGACCTTCTCTAGAACCTACCTGAGACAAGGTTCCGACAATTTTCGATTTTCCTTTCGATGTCCGAGAAGGGAGGGTGATGATTGCTTTACCTTTGCCATCATAAGTTGTGGATGCAGACGATATAAAGTCCACTTGGCCTCCAAATCCTACAAATCCGTAAGTAATGTTGATTTTGTAGTATCTCCTTGTGTCAAAAGAACATGCCAGAGTAGAATGTACTGCCGATTGAATCAGAAGAAATCTGTCCGGTGAGATCGATTTCGATGCACGCATTAATGCAAGTCATTTTGGAATTTGATCGTATTACTTCTGGTCGGTTTGTCCATTCACAACTTTCGAAATCTGTGGAGAAAATGGGTAATTATTGAAGATAGAACATAGATGTCGATAAAAAAAAAACTCCAAAAGTTTTGGCTGATGTAAGTAGAATTTTTGGCACTCGAAGAGAAGTGTGGTTATATGCCAGGAGGATCAATTGGTAGATGCTATCGAGCGCAGTCCATAGAATCCTTAGGCACTCAAGGAACCACTATGCGCCCTTAAGTCTTAATCGACCATCCCTCGTGTGAAAAGAAGAGACATTCCCACATTGTATCTTTTGTCCAGCATTGGATCAAGTGGGAAAAGCAATGAAACGACGAAGGCCTACCCAGGAGGCAAAACGGAATTCTTTGTTTCTGAAATGAAATTACACAAAAATCACCAAAAAAGGAAAACCCATTGGATTTCATCTTCGGACTTTAGCTAGCAGTACACCATCAAAGAGCAAATGGGCATACTGGGGTATATCATATACGAGTAATGAACCTTTAATGAGCAATGGCACAAAGCATGGAATCACCCCTGACGAGAAATGAATCGGACCCAAGGAAGTTCAGGACACTTCACTCAGTCAGGACTCGGAGTTGAACATCAGAAGGTGCACCATCTTTCTATCCGCTCTTCGCTGGCTGAATGCTTACCCAGGATCAGCACTCACTTAAAAAAAGTTGAGCATAGATTAAAGGCTAAGAACTCACGAAAAAGAGGATTATCGTTGATTACATCATAAAATTTCCGCGATCCATATCCATAACTGGTTACGATCTGAATAGAAAAACAACCGATCAAAAATTCTCAGGAAAAAAAACTTTTTTTTGACAACCTTTCCAGGCATGACGGATTTTTTCACATTTGTTATCACTCCAGCATCAATCAGTTCCAGTACGCCGTCGCTAACAGCTTCAGTATGGATTCCGAGATTTTTATGATTTCTCATTGCAGCCAACGTTGAATCAGGTATCGCTCCAATACCTGAAACCAACAATTCAAGAGTTCCCTTTGGGTAATCCGATTGGTCTCACCCAACTGTAGAGTAGCTTCGTCCTCGACGAGGTTTTCTGCAATGAGTTTTCCGATCGCTTGTTCTACCTAAAAAATGGCCTTGTGAATGGCAATTTCGAAGAAAAAGAAATAGCTCCGCTTTGACCTCGTTAGGCTTTCCTCGATCAGGTTTCGCATAGATTTTACGATCCTTCACTTCGACTAAAGAATCGATGTGCGAGATATGGATTACTGTATCGCCATAGGTCCTTGGCATTGACGGATTGACGATAGCTGAAATTCTGTTCAGCACTCTCAGAAAGATAATATTTGTTCTCAAGAATCTTTGCTCGAACAACTGAGAAGAAGTAGGCCTTCTATCGCGATAAGGGCCATCACAGGCAACCCTGTACTGGACATGCACCTTTGGAATCTGTCTACGAATGAAGTTTTAGGTATCTTTCCAAAATGTCGGGGGCGATTCTTTGCCTTGTAGAGCTGGGCTTTCCGCAAATGAGCCGATTGTTTACTTTTCTGAGATGTTTACTTGGCCACAATTTTTCTACATAGGGAAAAATACCACTCTTATAAAGAGGTTGATTAAGGGCTATGAATCATAACAGAAGTTCCGCTACACTCTAAAAGTTTCCAACAATAGATGAATGCATGGCACAGCTCGACGGCATCAGTTGAAGCCGATCATTTCTATCCCCGCTTTGTCAGTATTTCATTACCAATCTCAAAGGCAGTTTGGGTACAGGCAACTGCTTTCTCGCTTTACTGTCCGATTAATTTTCTGGTATTTTCTTATTGTCAAATTTCTCAAACCTAGGAAGAGCAGACCAGTTTACCGTACCTATGATTTTCTTAGCGCTACTGGTTGCCGTTCTAGAACAGTCGATATCAACACCCATGCTCGAAAAGCCTCGGCTGTCTGAAAAAGTTTTCTTGAGTGATACACATCCGTATTTTCATTTTGAAATCATTCACTCTTTCAATCGTTTACAAGAATTATGGCATCGAAGACCTCCTGTTTGATACCTGGTGGGGTGATCGAGATGAGAGCGACATCTGCTGATAAAACACCTGTGTGGTACATTCCGGGAATATCCGAAAGAAACACCGGAACATAGTCGGCGTTACCTAAAATGCATAGAAATCATAAAGACACAGTTCAATATAAAAATGGTTTCTGAGATTCCCCCACAGGATGAATTTGAGGCCCCGCGTCTGCCATATTTGGCACTATTAGGTCGGAAGATGGCCTAGTTAGAGAGTTATAAAGGCTCAAGGATTGGCCCGTGTGTATCGTCGGACGAGTTTCACCGGCATTATAGGGTATGCACCGATCGCAAGGAGACCCGTGTAGGAAGTTTAAACAACTTGTCGTGACTCATAGGACAGTGAAATACAGTTCTGTAGAGTTCTGGCTTGATGTAGTCAGCTCTTTGTACAATTGCAACAACTGAAATCTCGTCCGAATACCGCTTCCATATTATTTCCGTCATGGCAATCTCGTCCAACCTCTACTTTGCCTACTTTTTAGAGTCACATTTTTCTAAAAATTGGTGAATTATCTCGCTCTCTTCATTACCTAAGAACTATTCCCGATCTATACTTCCGCTTTTCAAACAAAATCGGGTACCTCAAAATTACGTGAACTGTGCCTTTAAATACTCGCTACTCATACGATTTTCGAACGTCCTCCATTGTAACGAACTCTATCCGACATGCAATGCAACTACAGTTAGAAGAGGACAATTTACCCAGTCCCAGAGGAAGAGCAGTTACTTTCAACACGCCTTTTTTTTCTGAAGAGACATGTCGACCCGATGACTATTCTTTACCTTGACCCTAACACTTACCCTTACCTGCACTGAAGACAAGACAACAACACGTGTCGTAAGGAAATTAATTACAGGAATCAGGACGAGACCTTTTCATATTTGGTAAACAGCACATTCGTTGTCATTGCCTAGGGTCATTAAATTGGAATGCCCAGAAGCAGTGCTCTTCAACCATATCCAGTGATTACGAGGAATCTTTTTAATTTCTGAGGATTACCATTGCCCATATGCCCTTACCGTCAATAAACTCAATCAATAACCTATCCAAACCAACGGATTAGATCTCCCAATTAGTAAGAGCCTGTTGGTATAACCCCTTGAAATGCTGTGTGCTGAAAAAGAGCATGAAATCACCCCTGTAGAACAGATACCTGACCTTGATTCACAAGTGGCCGTAGATTCCCACAAATGAAGAGGCAATTAGAGCGGATTTTCCCTGAACATCTATAAATGGAGAAGTACAATCAAGGACTAGGAAAGCATTTCGCTTACCCCAGTATTCACTGTCTGTCCAGGGAATCCGTCCCTGAAGTATGATATGTGCTGGTCGTATTCGGGAGAGATTGTTACGTTTCACATGACGACATAGTGCATCCAGCAGTTCGGTGGGAGTGGATGCATGTGGATGGACGTAGATGTCACTATCTACAGAAAGGAAAGAGTTTTACGAGTATCCCAGACCTCCAGAGAGGNAAAGGTCTGCTTACCAGATGTGATACAAGAGACGGCTTCGTCAGCAGTCACTCGTTTTGGAAACTTGCCAACAATCGGTACAGCTAAACTGCTTGTTAAACGGCTCAGCATCTGAAAATCGATTCATTTTATTGATGATCCATGCTTGGGGGAAGGAGAGGGGCTAGAACCCGATGGAATGATCGGGGTTAACCGGTTGACGATGTGATTACGGAAAGATGGACAAATAGAGAGTGCAAGTAAAAGGGCATTGGGTACAACTGGTAAGGGAGATGATGTAGGGAGCGTTGTCCCGCTGAGAAATTCTTGAGAGGAACAGTAGTAATAATACTTATTGTAAGTGCACATAACCCCGCCTCCTGAATATGGGCCCGCCCCCACAAGGGGAAAGATGTTACAAATCCGAGAAATGATTCTAAACGGAAAGTCTAGCATTTGGTAAAGCCTGCTGGATGTGATATGCGCCAACAGGAAGAATTCACCCAAACAACAGACCTAACTGTCATTTCTCATGCGTGTGCTGGTTTCTTGTGGGGGTGACGTACTGAGAAGTAGCGCATATCACAGACGCATGGTTAAGAGATCGAACCACGGGTAGACACTCGCCCAAGATAACTAGCTGACTGTACAGCATGGGTGGGCTCATATGATGAATGAAAATATCAACGTGCAAGGAAGTCAAGCTATTTCTGGAAATGTCGTAATGAAAAAAAGCAAAGCAGACGAGGTTAAGCATTTTCGTTTTCAATTAACTCTACAGCAAAGTGCAATGAGTTTCCGATAGAAACACGTTTAGGCAGAAACAATCACTTGATGAGACTGACCATCGTTTTTCGCCATTATCTCATCTCTCTCAATGAAACCTGCAACGGCAGCGAATGCATTGCTACAATATCCGATTGATTTCACTTTCACATACCTATTAATCAAGGAATTTTCATTATTTTAACTGGATGCACTGGTGAAGACCAATTTTCATGAACGACCAACACGATCACTTTGATTGGCGCTCCCCACTACCCGATGAAGCCGTCAACTTGTTCCTTCGAATACATTTGCAATTGTCAAGGTATCGAAACTTTTATCCTCTATTATGAGCAAAAATCCTCATAGGTTTGGTGGGAAAATGGTCGTCGTCGGTTTTTTCCCGTGGTGGGTTCATTCAGACTTCGGCGACGTGCATTGTTTCCACCGACCGATCGAGGACCGATGGCGTTCCCGGTCAAATGTTGACAACATTGGACATTTGTCAACACGTGGCCGGCAACGGCGTCGGTCTCTCGGTCGTTCGGTCGGTCGGTGGAAACAATACCCAACAGTTAGAGTCCGAATGCACCCACAGAGACCTTCATTAATGTGAGGTGAATTTGTCCCTCCATCAGGCTTCTCCTATCCCTGTCCAGCATCAAATGAAGTCAGCGGAGGGATGGCAAACTTCATAATTAATCACACATACATCAACTGGTGAATGAGTGACGGTTCCTGTATTCTAATCGTGGTTGTGAGTTCGTAAGGTTATTTTGATTACCCAATCAGGATCCCAGCAATCCTACCAAATTCGATATATAAAAGGACATCCCTTCAATTGGGAGATGGTCCACCTACTGCTGCTTTATGAGGCAACAATTACGGCTATGCCGTTACATCCTCCTATCAGTCCTGTACCAGTTGCTGGATGGTCGCTAGGATCTCACTGAAATGCTGTAAGTAGCTCATTTCCGTTTACGAGCGTGTCCTATTAGGCCTCAGAGTTAATTAGGGCCGAGAAGACATTGAGCCACGTGGACAGATGTTCCCCTTGAGCCCTTAAGAAAGCAAGCCTGCCAAAGTGGCTGAACTCGAGGTGAAAAATTTGGGGAAGAGGAGGTAGCAAGCAAAATCCAGTGCCAGTTTGCGACCCGGAGTGAAATTCGTATTGAACCACTCCATCCAGGATTCGAGCAAAAGAGTGCTATACAATTTTAACGGACCTTCATACTTTGAGCGGGACGCAAGCGCAGGAGCGCTTACATGTGAAAGGTGGGTATTGATTAACGCTCGCTACGTCCTTTAGCTCCTAATTCGAGATGCGCAAGATGGCATTCTATTTGAGTACGCGGCGGTAGTGTCAAGCGGGACATAGCGTTCGTGTCTTGTCTTTGGAAGATGCTTATACTTATAATCCCTTTGAGTACAAGGTCGGATTTGAGTATCTTTCGAAGTGTGATTACCCACAACTACGCACCCTTGTATAGTAGCAGCACTAGCTTGCAATCTGTGATTTACCCATGATTTCGAAGGCATGGCAAATCATAATTTATTTCAATACACCCTCATAAATAATCATAAATAATATCGAAATGCCCTCAAGGAGATGGCATGCACTTGAGTCTTTCGAAGGCTTCTCGTTCAAGACGTTCTCGATCATCTGGGTGAGCTATCTTGATTAGCTCGTAGGCTCTTTGACGTACAGTCTTCCCTCCAAGATATGCGATACCGTATTCCGTGACCACATACCGAGTATGCCCTCGCGTGGTTACTACTCCTGCTCCCTGAAAGTTACATATACCACTTAGAAGTATAAGAAATTTACTAGCAAAAACATACCTCACTGAGAGTGGTTACAATTTTCGATTGTCCTTTAGCCGTCCTGGATGAGATAGCCATTATAGCCTTACCCATACCATCATATGATGTAGATGAAGCGCCCATGAAGTCCGTCTGACCACCGAATCCTTGAAAACAAAGTTGTATGGGAATCTTCAAGTATAATAATACCGCTTGGATCATAAAGATATGCTGATCGACGTGGTAAGCTAGGAAGACAGGGTAACCCAGAGCTGAAATAAATGGCAGTAGAGCCGCAGTACTGCATGGAAGTGCCGCTGTCTCTGCCACTTTTTGATCCTTTACTTTTCCTTTTATTCCTTCTTTTTCCTTTTTTTTTAATTCCAAAAAAAAGGAACCTGAGTAAAATGTCGATCCTATGGAATCGGAGGCGACTTGGCCAGTGATGTCGATCTCTATTCCGGAATTGATACAAGTCATTTTCGAATTGGCCCTTATTATATCGGAATGATTCGTCCAACTGCAGCAATCAAAATCTGAATTGGACTAGAAAAAACAACGTAGAAGCGAGAAAGGTCAGTACTGCCAAGGAGAATTGGAAGAGTAACGAAACCAGAAAGTCTTACGTAGCATAGGATTATTGTCAAGGAAACGGTAGAATTTTTGGGTTCCAAAAGCGAAAGTCGTCACGATCTGAACTTGAGGTGGACAATGAGTTGGAGTGATAATGACAAAAAAAAATTCCATTTAAATCGCACTCATTGACCTTTCCGGGCATTACTGACTTCTTGGTATTATTAATTACCCCGGTTCTAACCAAGTCCATCACACCTCCACCGAGTAATTCCGTGTGAATACCGAGATCCTTGTGATTCTTCATAGCCACAAGGGTCGAGTCCGGGATAGCTCCAATACCTTGAATAAGAAACATTGGTATGAACGATAATTTGGCCCTGTCTCTATGCCTCAAATTTTAATTATTACAATGGATCATCCAAGGTTCTGAGGTAGAAGTCGTAGACTAATGAATTGACTAAACCGGACACTCTTAGGGAGAGTTCGGTTTGAGGCGTCATTAGAAGCGAACTACCAACACTGTTCGCTGGTTTCACTATTGGTAGCATTCACTACAAGTATTCCGATAAATGATTACTCGTTGGGTGTTTACGGACATTATGGAATAGTGTAGGAATCAGATAAACACCGGCTTCATTGAATTCAAACTCTCAAATTTTCATTGGAGCTGCCCTAGTCCTCTCCAAACTTTCATTCCCTTTCCATCGATGAGAAACTTAGTGGTGGGCGTGACACCTGGTTCTCGATAACCCATTTAATATCCTTCTGAAGTACTGATATCATAGGCCCCACTAACTTAGAATTTAATGACTTCGTTAAAAGTGTGTTGGTAATTAATAGGCAATATACTAAACAGACCTTGGATGAAGTTTGTGAAGGAAATATAGAGTAAGGGCTCATAAAGAGTATACCAAGTTGGAGGGTGGCTCCGTTTTCCACGAGGTTCTCCGCGATGAGCTTGCCTATTTTTATTTCTTCCTAAAAGAGAAGAAATTGCTCAACCCGTAATCTGCGTAGGGAATATTCACGAAACACCTTAACATCCGTCACGTATTAATATAGATACCAAGTTTCAATTCAAAGGCATTGGAACAACTGAACATGCACTGACAAATACCTTGGTGCGAAAAAACGAATCTAGTGAACGAAAAAAGATAGATAAATACTCAACCTCTGATAATGTGGTCTCTTCTGGAGGTCCATAGAGCTCTCTGTCGCATTCTACGAAGTAGTCAATTCTAGACTGGTGCAGCAGAGTATTCCCGTGTGTTATCGGTATTTTAGGGTTGACGAGAGCTAAAAAATAGCCTGTACAGAGTGAATGGGTGTTGCTAGTTATTCATTAATCAAGAAGGGATGTGGAGCCAAACTCCATGAGCAATCTCAGTCCAAGAAACACTTTCCAGCCTTCCTATCCTTAGGTCTACCTCTCATCACGGTAGAGATCATCTGATATAGTATGTCTTGGGAGCATAAGGAACCAGGTGCATTTGTGAATGGAGGGAACTGTTCATATTGATTTATAATATGAGGAATTTCAAGGTACTTTCAGGCTTACTATGAATATTAAACTATGCCTATTAACTGCGTTCAACTGGTTCTTTGTAGACCCTGATGGGATGGCTGTGTCATACAGTTACATGGAATCAATGGATTACTGGAATCAAAAGTAAGTTTTATTCTTTGAAGTCATCTTCCTCGACGTGTTTTCAGCTCTATGTTGCGTAACTTTGTAAAGCTCAAAAGCTGTAGATATAAAACTAACCGATAACTTTCTTGGCCATTTCAACGGCTGCTTTAGAAGTGTCTAAGTTCGGTCCGAATGTACAAAAACCTCGATCATCTGAAACAAGTTGGTAGAGTTAGTTTGAATCAGTAAGATAGGACGACTTCGGTGATATATCGTATCTTTTCTTGAATCTGAGGTAAGTGGCTCCTTCTAATGGCCTAATTTTATAATACTGACCTCAGATTGCAAACTATAGAAACCAGTTGGTTATATGTAAAACAAGGCAGTATCGAAATGGATAGGGAATTTTCAGAAGCTACATATTAGCCGCACAATAGGCCATAAATAAATACTATAAGCAGAACTTCATTCTACGAGTTGGTGTAAGACATTTGGGCAACATACCTGGAGGGCTTACAGATATCAACGCTACATCAACAGGAAAAGTCTTATTGTAGAAGTAAGTGGGCATATCAGATAGGAATACTGGCGTGTAATCGGCTTGACCTGCAAAATCGTCATGATTCTGATCACTTATCAAGTAGTTGCTCTGAAGCCATGCAAATTTGTATAGTACAGACTGATTTTCTGAGAAGAGCATTTCAAAGGATGAAGCAGATCGCTCCAGAAAGGGATAGTCGTAGGTGCAAAGGGGACCTTTGAGCTACCAACATTGACAATAAGCACCGTAAAGCAAGTTGGCTATTGGCAGGTGAACAAGGCAGTCATAAGGACTACTCAGTGACTGTAGGCTAAAGCGTGGGGAGCTTATTCCACGGCATGAGAGACGTCGTACTTGCTTCTTCGGTTACTCGGAGGAGGTTTCGGGAATGGACAAAGTATTTGCGGAATGTTTTGAGAAATCGCATTTTAAAACAATTTGGTAAATTTCGAATTAATTGTATGCCATACTACTGGAATGGTAGCTCCTCCCCCGTGTAGTATCTAGCACAGGTGAGGGCAGAGATAGGCCTTTCTGTGAAAAATTTGCTGGATATTTCTGACATCCTCTTCTCACAATCAGTGACGCTATGCTCGACCTGAGCGACTGGGAAGCAAGAATTTATCGCAGATACCTAATCCCCAGATCTGACCTGCTCGCCCCGAGCTGCTAAAAGTCATACTCTCTCCGAAGGGGGAGTACAGATAGTGTAGAAAAGAACCAGCGAGATTTAACTTACCTTGCTTAACTAATTTTCTCACGTTACCGCATAGAAACAGTCCATTGGAACGAACCTTTCCTGTAAGTAACATTAATTTTCATCAGTTCTATAGAAGTTATCTCCTAGTACACTCCGGATCACTCAGACATTACTGTAACTCACCAAAATATTTCTCATCCGTCCATGGTACTTTTCCTCCCAGAATAATGTGTATGGGCCGGAGATCTTTAATTCCATGGGAGTCGACCCGACGACAAAGGGCTTCCAATAACTCTGTTGGGGTAGAGGCAGGTCCGTGAACGAAAATGTGGTCACCTGAAACAGAAGGATGTTGTCAAGCTCCAATCCGAAAGAATAAGGAGAAATAAATCACCTGATGCTATGGTTGATACAGCCTCGTCGGCTGTTACTCGCTTAGGCAACTTTCCTTGAACAGGGCTAGATAACCGACTTGCTAACGGGTAAAATGCTCTTTTCATGTATATGCTCAACTGCATCCTTGAAAATCCTTTGAAGCTGACGGGCCTATCAAATTTCGAAAGGATCGCCTAGGTTACCCGTTTCGGTTCTGGAATGATCTTTCTAAAGTCGAGTCGAGTGTAAAGGAAGCCGAAAAACGTGGAATTTATAGTA